TACAATTTTTATCCAATTAACTTCAAACTGAGTTTGTATACTCTCAAAAAGAATACAAGAAAAACTGCATACTTGGTTTTTCACCATTTTTCCTGGGGCATGAAAAAGGGGGGGTTTTCCGTGGAAAAATTGAAACACAATCAACACCCCACAGCCCAAACGGTAAAAGCTAGGAAACTGGGCTCAATTATCCTATCATGGTGTAGATGCGCACTAAGAAGGGATTTTGGAAAATTCGAGCTCCAAAGGGGGGAAAAGTAGCTCCAAAGTTTGTTTGAAAATTCTGCATTTCTGAATCGATCAACTTTAAATTTGGTTTTTATAATCTATAAAAGAATACAAACAAAATTGCATAATCGGTTTTTCGAAATTTCTGTTGGAGCTTGAACTATTGGGGTTTTAATATTTATTCATTTTTTCAAATGAAAAGTTTGTGTTCTAAATTTTGTCCGATCGATTCAAATTTGGGTAATATAATCTACGTAACTAAAATTACAACTTTGCATTTAACGATTTTTAAAATATGCATTTTACAAATGCAGGCAGAACAAACAATACAAAATATCAAACAGTTGGGGACAACTAAGTATACATACACACACACACACACACACACACACACACACACATGTGAACTAACATGTCGTACTAAACTGCCCTAGATTCAGTCGTAACAGGGAGGTGCTAGAAAACGCCTTGGGCACCCCTATATCGGCGGATAACATTGTGGAACAGATGCTGGACAGCCAGAATGGATGGGATGCCGTCAGCCACTTTGCCGCCAAAGTCATGTGTGAGCTTAGGCGGCTGGAGAGAGCCAGAGCAGTAGGGACGTAAAAGGAGGCCACAACTCGTGCGAAGCAATGCTTAGCGGCCGTCCCGCACGAGAATTGTGTCCATTACCCACTTTTTACTTAAGTTCTCTACAATGTATTATATGTATATTATTGTATTATACTACAAGTTGTAAATGTTGTAATGTTGTAAATGGAATTAAAAAAAAAAAAAAAACACACACACACACGCACACACAAACATACATACAAGCAGCTGTTCGTGTAGTTGCGTGCAAACGGTTGAAGTAGCCAAAGCAAAATGTGAGATACTAATGTGTGAGTGTTCATTTGTACACATGTATGTACATACATACATACATATGTACAAAAGTACATTCGTCTTGCACTGACAGGGCAAGAAATGTTAATTAATTAAAAATTATTAACATTATAACAAACATTTTTATGTTATTTTTTCTTTGTTTAGTACATTTGGCATTAGGGGTTTTTAGGACAACGGACTACAAGGGCATCCCCCCTGCAGGTTGGGCAGGGGGGACATTGCTCCCCCTAGAAAGAATTTCGCATTATGAATTACACCAGCACCATATGTATTACATACGTACATACATATGTACATACGTCTGTATGTATAGTATGTATGTACATATGTATGTACGTCAATAAGTATGTATGTATGTACGTTCATACATTCCAATATACATACATATATAGGTTGCATACATACAGCAGTGGGCCATCGAACACTGTTGTTTAATTGTAATAAAAAGTGTTCTATGGTTTCAAATCAAAATTTTTAAAACAACAACAACAACTTCAAGTTATTGGCTCGCAAATCTTCTTTCGTTTTGATCATTTACGGCTGTTCATTGCATACGCAAAATGCCAAAAGTTTACAGTTACCGTACACATACAAATACAAAATACAGTATTATAATCAATAACTCTCAAACGATGTTTTTCGATGTATTTGTATTCGACATGTATTACGATATATCAACACAAGTATCGATATTTTCGATATATCGCATTTAATTTTATTATTGGGGTTTTAATATTTATTCACTTTTTCGAATGGTCAAATGTGTTATAAATTTTGCCCGATCGATTTTAAATTTGGGTAATGTAATCAACATAACTATATCAACAAATTGGCATTCAACGATTAAAATATAGCAATATATTTTTTACTTGCCATATATCACATATCAAATAGTTGGGGACATCACATACACACACTCACACATACATACAACAAGCAACAGTTCGTGTCTATGTGTGCCCATGCATACATACATATGTACTATACAAGCATATGCATGTATGTATGCCTGTATATGTACATATGTAGCATGTACCTACAAAACAACAACAACAACTTCAAGTTGTTGGCTCGCACATCTTCTTTCGTTTTGACCATTTAATGTAAATTGCAAAGGCAAAACGCCAAAAGTTTACAGTTACCGTCGCTAGGCAACGACTGCGTAAGCGATAGTAAAGCAGAAACCGAATAACGGAGCTACGCATATTCTGCTTCGCATTGCGGGCAGATGTATGTATGTATATGATTTGTTCTTATTGATCTCAATAAATAATTAGATTTTATTATTTAAATAATCTGCTTATTGCATTCAAACTTCGATATTTTGATGGTATCGGTGGCTTCAACTATCGAAAGTTTTACTCTAGCAAATTGAGATGCTTTTTGATCGTGGCTCATCGCTGCACGGCATTGACACGAGTGCCGTGTTTCATATTCCGAGGTTGTGCGTGACCGTATTGACTCAATATGGCACGAAAAGGCTCAAATGTGAATTTAAAATTAGGATATACCCTTATAATTATTCCCCCTTTTGTGCAAATCGTCTATCTTAAAACGTTGCGTTATCTCTATATATAAAACAGTTTGTCCTGACTAATTGGTGATCAACGCACAGCCCAAACGGTAAAATATGAAATTTGGACTCAAGTATCCTTTCATAGTATCCATCATAGTGTAGGAGCACACTAAGAAAGGCTTTTGGAAATTCTAGATCCAAAGGGGGGAAAACGAGCTTTAAAAAATATTAGTTATAGTGGTCATGTTCGTTTAACGAAATAGTTTGGCAAGAACAAAAATGTAACGGACTACTGAACCATTTTTTGCCACGAACAGAAAATGTTAATTTAAATACCTTAAATGCCTTCCTACTGGTAACTTATATGGGTAGGTTATGCACACACAAAATAAATACAATTGGAAACATTATATTGAGCCGGGTTAAGACGGGCAATACCTGCTAGTTTATATATAATTATCTACTTTTGTTTCAAATTTCATTTAAATCGGTTAATTATTATTTAGTTATAAGTTCCCTCTTCTTCTTCCTTTTGCTTCTGCTAGAGGCTTAATGGGAAATTACAGAACGCGACCGAAAACCAAAAGAAAAATAAGTGGAGAAGCTAAAGTCGGGTGACTTTTCTGACTTTGAAATACTCTGTACATATGTGTAGAATAATTTCAGAAAATTTAATAATAAAACAAATTGTAATATTAAAAATGTTTATACTCTGTACATGAATTGTACAAGAGTATATTAGGTTTGCGGGAGATGAAAAATGTAACAGTCAGAAGGAGACGTGGCAGACAAAGTATATATGTATATTCTTGATCAGCATGACAAGACGAGTCGATCTAGCCCTGCCTGTCTGACTGTCCCTATGTCCGTCCGTCTGTCCGTATGAACACCTACATCTCAGAGACTATAAGAGCTAGAGACAACAAATTTTGCACAAAGATGCCTTATGTGTGTACGCTGTTTGTTTTATTTTTATACCCTGTACCCAAAGGGTACAAGGGTATATTAGTTTTGTGCGAGTGTACATGTAACACACAGAAGGAGGCGAGGCAGACCCCACAAAGTATATATATTCTTGATCAGCATGACAAGCCGAGTCGATATAGCCATGTCCGTCTGTCCGTCTGTCTGTATGAACGCAAGGATCTCAGAAAGTATAGGAGCTAGAATAACCAAACTTGGTATACAGATTCTCCTGAGCCCGAGAAAGGACGAGTTTGTTCATTTTTCCCGATGCACCCCCCCGCTCCCCCTCTATTCTAGATTTTCTATAACTCCCGTAATTCTTGGAATTTTGAACTAAAATGGTAGACATATCCAGTTAGTGATTATATATCCGTATACCAAGTTTCATTATGATAGAATGATCAGAAAGAAAGTTATAGCCATATAACCAGGCCCAATGCACACATACATACATATGTACAAGTACACCAACACGCATAGGTACGATTCTGATGTAAATGTATGTATGCTTGTATGGAATATTTTATATTTAATTTAGTTAATTAATTAAATTAATTAATTAATTAAATTAAATTAATTTATTTATTGTGGGGTGGTACAGGGTATTTAAGAGTTGAACCTGCTCGACTTTAGCATTCCTTTCTTGTTTTTATTTATTATTATTATTATTTAAAATCATAGAATGCCCCAAGCTAACCCATAATTGTGGAAAAATAAGACAAAAGATTATAAAAATAAACAAAAATGGGAAAATTTACTCATTTTCCTGCTAAACGCATATTTGAATTGCCGCAATCATTTTAACATACGCACTTGCCAAAATGTTTTAGCAAATGATGTTCACGAGCAATGTTCGCCTCGTTAGTGGGCAAATGTATTTGTGCTTCCGAACAAGTTAAGGCTACATGCTAGCGTGCGGATTGCCTGTTTTAGCACGACAAACTATTCCCGCCCTGACATACTGATTAAGAACAAATCAAGTTCTAGAAGCCGTATGAACACCTAGATCTCAGACTATATGAGGTAGGATATAAAATTTTCCACACAGCCTTATACTACAAGTATACGTATGTTACGTGCGTTCCAATTCCCAACGAGGTATAATGGATCAAAGAATTGCTTTTTATTTTACAATTTCGTTTTAAAATTTTCTTAATTTTTTAATTATTGAACACATATATAGGTACAGAGTATTTGAAAATCGGGACTCTCGACTCTATCTTTTCCACTTGTTTTAGGTCCTGTGTATTTCACTGAAACAAATTTTTCTAGTTAGTAAATATTTCCACCTAAACTGTAATCATTTGGGTTGTGTATCGATTACCAACCACTCAGTCAGAACAATTTTAGACATATATTTAGAAAACACACACAGATATTACCCTAAAGTGTTTCTTACCTTTTCAGCAAATCTAGCATATTTTCCTTCTTCGGACACATGATCGGTTGAACATCTTTTCAAATGCGAAATTAAATATTTTCGAATTGATTTTATAGATGGTAAGATAACACTGCAAGCTAAAGATAGAAGCGCCCAGTGTTTTAAGTTAACACGAGAATTGGGATCAGGGTGGTCTGTAGTTTGTTTTATTAGTTGCAAATAAAGCTCATTTAATAAAGAGTCTTTTCGCATGCATTTATCCATTATGCATTGAACTATTCGTATGTGATCATCTTCTAAACGTTTTACCATTTCACCTGTAATGAAAAATGACGTTTTATAATATCCTGTAGCAAAATTTAGAAAAACAATCGTTATATTGCAAAATTATGCAACTACACAATTTAAAACAGTACAAAGTGTTAAATGCGTTGAAATTAATTCATGAATGGATGATAATTAGATAAACAATAAACAACAACAACAATAAACAAGAAAACGTAGTTGTTGCATCATCTAGAGTCCGGTTGATGTTTTTAAACGCCACGTTTCCTTCATTTTTATACTCTGTCCATGAAATGTACAAGAGTATATTAGGTTTGCGGGAACTGAAAAATGTAACAGGCAGAAGGAGGCATGGCAGATCCCACAAAGTATATATATTCTTGATCAGCGTGACAAGACGAGTCGATCTAGCCCTGTCTGTCTGTCTGTCCGTCCGTTTGAACACCTGGATCTCAGAAACTATAAGAGATAGACACACCAAATTTTGCACAAAGATGCCCTATGTGTGTATTCTATACGAGTTTGTTTTATTGTTTTGATTTCCCCCCCACTTCCCCCCTATGGGGGTTTTTCCCGATTTTCCATTTGTATAATCGCCTATATCTCGGAGACTATAAGACCTAGGAACACAAAATTTTAGTCCCAGATGCCTCACCCCCTCTCCCAAGCAAATCGCGATTTTCTCTAACTCCCGTAATTCTTGGAATTTTGCAAATACCCCCAGTTAGTTATTATGTGTCCGTATGCCAAGTTTCACTATGATAGACCGATTTAACAAGAAGTTATAGCCATAAATATATTTGCTGCTCCAACGCTGCCCGCAGCTGTTGTTGTTGTTGCTATTTGGTTGACTGCTAACATGCTTACTCAGACACGAATAGATGCGCATAGTGTAAAGAAGTTATTTTTCCAGCTGGGGTAATGGCTCAGCTGTCCAGGATTCCTTACAAGAAATTTGTAAGTTGCGGGACCTTGCGACCAAAGGGCTCGATGCACATTGTAGGGGACAATCGGCAGCGACACGCGGAATTTGTACTTACTGGTTGATGCCTGGTAAGTGCAAATTTGACGAGCCTACCAGTCTGTTGACGTTTTACAACTGCGGTTAATGGCCCAGCAACTGTAAAACGTCGCCAGTCTGATCCGCCGATCTCATGGTTTTGGGTGTTGTATTTGCCTGTTAGTGGCCCAGCAAATATAACTGCCAAGACTCAGCTCAGACGGATACAGTTTATATACCACGACTAATGTCTACTGTATATAAAGTACTCACGCAGAGGGAGAAATATGCAAGAAATAGATCGATGCGCGCTGAAATATTTCGCACACTGCCTTTTATTTGTAATATAAGCACTGTTGGCCCTACGCTGCACCACGATTGTTGCATAATTACTTAGACTTACTCAGATTAGTTAACTTAGGTTAACTCCTGTACTCGGTTGCTGGAAGCTGTGTCGAAGTACGTCTGCCTTGCTTGATGGTTCGCCGGAGAAGAGAGCGAGCTTTCGTTTTCGCTCGCCCTTCTAGCCTTTGTTTGTGTGAACCTATTCTCCTTTCCTAAAATCCCTATGCAAGCGTGGGCGGTGATGCCGGCCTGTTTATTCTCCCTCTATTCAAAAGATTACTGCTTCGTAACTCTAATTGGCAAATAAAGGAACTTTTGTATGCGATATTCAAAGTGCAATACGGTAACAAAAATGTGCAATATTCAACTGTGCAATAGAAAATCTTAAATCTAGTAATCCAATAATAGTAAATATTAAGGCTAATAACAAAAATGTGCAGTATTCGAAATTGTGCAATATAAAAATAGGGAAACTTAAATCTAGTAATTCAATATAATTATAATATTTTGAGGCGCAGAATTTAACTGCGTCACAATAGGCATACATACACCCACACAGGCGCAATTGCTATGTAAATGTGCAATTATACACCATTTACGTGAGTTCGAATAGCGAGAGAGGTAAAATCGATCAAAAAATTTGTTGTTTAATTTTCTTCATTTTTTTTTACTTTCTATAATTATTGTAAGCATATGTACAGAGTATTTCAAAGTCGGGACACCCGACTTTAGTTTTTTTACTTGTTAAACGTGTTTTGAAAGGGTAATAGGAAATATATTCTAGATTGGTGCATAAACAACTGTGAAAGATCCTGTTGATGAAATATTAGCATGCACGCAATTGCTTAAACGGAATATCTATATCCATAAGTCGACTTATCTTTGTCCGATAAAATTAATCCAATAATAAAATTAATCCAATCCTGAGCCACAGCCATAATAGTAATTGCCAGTGCATATTTGCAATAAACATTTATAACGTTGAACGTACGTGTTGAAAGTCATCTTGTTTTATTTGTTGAAAAGCATGTCTTGATTATCGTGTTCAATATTGGTCGCTCAACATTTGGAAGCCCTGGCGAGATCGAATTTCGTGTTTTCGTTTGTCGCGAGTTAAAGACGATTAATAAGCGAACATTACTTGTAGTTGCTATTCGTAAGCAAGTGCATTGTTAAAAAGTGCTACATTTGAACATTACATACATATGCCCATGCATAGTGGACTCTGTAAGAACCGTTGCTTGCAGTTCGTGAAATTCGTATATGCTAACAGCCGCGCAAAAGCAATTGCTTTTGGTTTACCGTTCGTTGTCATCAGTGCCCGCGCAAAGACATAGCTCTTTTATCGGCCGATTACGTGTTGTTGATTAGCGCTTGCCTTCTGTCAAAATGGTGGATGAAGTGCAAGTTGGCGCGTCAGGGCCCAACAGGGTGCCTTTTTTGAAGCGCAAGGTCTCCGCAATGCTTGAGGAGATGAGAAATCTTAATCAGGCCTACACTGATGAACGTTTTAATCGTTGCACCATCGTCGACCTGGAGGTGCTTCAGCATCGCATAGATGAGTCCAAATTAGAGTTCAAGGCTGCACATAGCTCATTGGAAGAGCTGGATCATGATGAAATTGGAAGTCCGTCGCGAACTGAATTTAATTTGTTGGTAGACGCATTAGATGTTCGCGTGCGTGAGAACATACGTCGCCGCCAATCTCATTTGCCTGCCCATTCCACACTTGGCCGTCTGGAGGAATCTGTAAGCCAAACCGTTATCATGGCAAGTAGGCCACGTCTTCCAGAAATAAAGGTGGGAAAACCCAACCAATGTACTAACCACTGTAGAAAGGCTTTCGTTGCTGCCCGAACTAACCAAGATAACTGTCTGTTTTGCGAAGCGACTGGGCATGGAATTTACTCATGCAGTAGATTTGGAAATTTTTCTCCTTCTCTGCGCCACAAGGAAGTAAAAAAGCTCGCTCTTTGCTACAACTGTCTAAAAAAGGGGCATCAAACTCGGTCTTGCAGCAGTGGCCACTGTCGCGTTTGTAGTGGAAAGCATCACACCTTGCTGCACTTTGGCAACTCGATGTCCACTTTGCAAAATGTTTCGGCTGCGCCTCAGGTCGCTGCATCGCTGCTGGTGACATCTCCGCATTTGGATGTCACTCTTGGATGCAAGCACACAAACTCTTTTACTTCAATGCAGCGAACTTTTGGCTACATTCACAAGTTTATTAATCGGGTAAGGCACCCTGGCCTTACTGTATCGGACGTGCATCATGGCACCCAGATTTTGCTTCGTATTGTGCAACTTGCTAATCTGTATGATGAGATCAAGGAGTTGCAGTCGGATGGTATGGTAAAAAAATCGAGTTCCATCGTTTCTCTCGCTCCGTTTATTGACAACAGTGGAGCTCTTCGCGTTGGTGGATGGCTTGGAAATTCGTCGCTTGGATATGATGCTCGGCATCCTATTATTCTGCCTCGCCGTCATCCAATCACACTGGCACTCATCGCTCATTCACATGAAACGAACTTGCATGCCGGTCCTCGTTCTCTTCTTGCCAAAATTCGCCTTCAGTACTGGACAATCGGCGGCCTGCGAATGGTGTCAAAGGCAGTTGGCAAGTGTGTGAAGTGCTTCAGAGCCCGGCCAAGACTTGTTGAGCATATTATAGCGGATCTTCCGAGAGAGCGTCTTGAGGCCGTTCTGGCATTCACGATCACTGGAGTCGATTATTGTGGACCCTTCTTCTACAAGTCAGATGTACGCACCAGGCCTCCTATCAAGTGCTATATAACCATGTTTATTTGCTTTACAAGTAAAGCGGTGCATTTAGAGCTGGTGAAGGATTTGTCGACCGCTTCGTTTCTCAGCGCTCTGAAGCGTTTTATATCTACTCGTGGCAAGCCGAGCCAAATTTGGTCTGATAATGCTACCAATTTCGTCGGCGCCAAAAATGAACTACTGGAATTGAAGCAGCTCGTACTAAGTGATTCTCACATGGAAGCAGTTCATCAATTTTGCTTGGCTGATAGCATCGATTGGCGTTTTATCCCCCTCGCTCTCCGCACTTTGGTGGACTGTGGGAGTCGGCGGTGAAGATGGCGAAACACCATTTTTATCTCTGTGCTGGAAGCGCATTGCTCAATTTTGATGAGCTTCGCACGCTTGTTTTGCAAATAGCAGCAGTTATAAATTCATGCCCAATTTTGTCAATTTCAGAGAACCCCGATAATATAGATGTCATGACGCCTGCCCATTTCCTGCTATGTGGTCCTTCAGCAACCATCATCGAGCCTGTCTTACGAAGCTCAACTACAATCGTCTAGATGGCTGGCAGCGTGTATCCCAGTTGCAACAGGTGTTTTGGGCCCGTTGGCGTGAGGAGTACCTTACTCTCCTCCAGCAACGTGCCAAGTGGCGCATGCCTGCGCATCCATTGTGTGTCAACGATATTGTGCTCGTAAAGGACGAGAATCTTCCTCCCACGCGATGGCCGCTGGCTCGAGTAGTCAAACTCATTCCTGGAAAGGATGGCCGGGCCGTCAACCGTCAGGCAAGCTTCTAACGGGGGGAGTATGTTCGGCGCAGCGGCAGCGAAGACATCCAAATAGATTCAACAGTTGATAACTTGTAACGTAAATTCATAACACATCATTGTTTGCCATTCGCATAAAGCTCTGTAACATA